GGCAAGAATTCTAAACTTATTTTGGTTTCCCCGAATGCGAAACTATGTCAAAAGCTACATCAAATCCTGTGTGGGCTGTGCGTTTTATAAAACACCAGGTGGACGTCAGGAAGGTCAGTACCACTACGATGACATTAAGCCGATTCCCTTTTCCACGATACACATGGACCACCTGGGGCCATTTCCGAAGAGTTCCAAGAGAAACGAGCATATTTTGGTAATAGTCGATGCATTCACCAAATTCACCATTGTACGAGCGGTGAAAAGTACAGCAACTAAACACGTCCTAGATGTCCTGCAAGATGTAACCAGCTACCTGGGAATGCCAGATCGAATTGTAACCGATCGTGGTACAGCATTTACATCAAAAGATTTCGAGAAGTACTGCAAGTCAAACAATGTAAAGCACATTTTAAATGCAGTAAGGACACCCAGAGCCAATGGTCACGCAGAGCGCACAAATCGCATCATTTTGTCAATGTTGTTGCCTTCCAATGACATCGATAAACGTTGGGATGACAATATCCGATCAATACAGTGGAGCATTAATACCATGGTAAATAGTACAACTAAATGCTCTCCCTTTCAGCTCCTGTATGGGTATGAACCTCGAGATATCCTAAAGAACGCGATAACCAACATCATTCAAAGCCAAGACCAAAAGATGCTAACCGATGCGGAATTGGATCAACTTAGAGCAGATGCTGCGAGAACTGTCAACGATCACCGAGCTGCCGCCAAGAAACGCTACGATGCCAAACATGCGAAGCCAACTGTTTACAGCCTTGGAGACCTTGTGCTGGTCGAGAATGAGCTATTCAGCACGGGCACATCACGCAAATTGGAGCCGCGCTACAAAGGACCTTTTATAATCACCAAGGTCCTGCCGAACGACAGATATCTTGTAGAAGATATCCCTCACGCACAACGAAAGCAGAGACACTACAAGTCGGTGTATTCGTCCGACAAGATGAAGAGCTGGTGTGAGCTGCCACCGGAGGAGCCCGATGAAGATGACGACTTTGAAGATGATCCACCCCATGAATCCTGCGAGGACGCAGAGATTTGTCAGGAGAGGCCGACTGTGAACAGCGCCTGATATAGTATATACCAAACCTTCAATATTAGTGTAGAATAAGTCCTTTTTTTATAATGTTACCGGACTCTCCAAATGTAAAGTAGTCGAGACAGAGTCGTACTCAAGAGCAGAACGTGAGCAGAACACTTATAGTTATAATTTCTATATGTAACCTTATATCCAACACAACTATCCTAAATAAAACCTACACCACTCAAAAAGCTACCCTTCTCACATGTCAGTCCTTAATATTCGACGAGAGGCAGACAGGGCGCGACAAAGTACTGCGGGCATAGCACAGTGGTCGGGCTGCTATGAAAGTACGCGACAAAAATAGTTGGGCTTGACTTATAGTTCTATAATTTTTACCATATGCTTATAAAAATACCAAAATACTATTTTCAAAAAATGAGCATGCTCATACGCCCCTGCGTCTTCCCACAGTCAATTATGTAAACTAAATTATTAAACTAAAAGTAAACAATTTTAACGTTAAAACAATGCAAATTATTTGTATAAAAATGTTAAGTTATTACTAAAATTGTGAAAAAAAAATAGTTTTAAAAACATTATTAATGTTTTCTTTTCGCGTGGTAATTTTCTTAATCCACTTATAAGAGGGTCTGAACTAAGTAATAATCTGTTGACCAGGTTAGTATTTCATGCTTCTCGAGAAAAATTTCTTGTATGCTGAAATCTAAACCTTTTTAAATCTTTTTTTTCGCTTCAGCAGCTTCCTCAGACAGCTCTCCAATATCAATTATGACTTCAGGTCTATGAATTAAGATTTTATGCACGGAACCTGGCAAGTAGTACCAAGGATATGTTTCTATTATTTGTCTGTCTCTAGAGCATAATTTCTAAATTTATCTAAATTAGTTTTGTAGCCAGAATTTAAAGCTTACAAAATGGTGGTGCATCTGCTGATTGATCTGATTAATTAATTATCAAGTCCTGTAATACGGGCAGCCAGCTGAGGGTTTTTAAAAATCTGCGGACGTGTTTCCATAGTTTGACGAGCCACTACCGCCAAACTTTGGTCACACCCAACAAATCAAGCAATAGCCAAGTTGGGAACAGTACCAGGCGCTCAGTAGCACCCACTGCATATGAGAATTGCATATCATCATATTATATGTCTCACTAACTCACCGACTCAACGGAACATTGACGAGCCAATGCAGTCAGCACATGTTGCAGGGTCAGCCGAGCCAACTGCATTAACTGCTACCATAATCATAATTCCCTGACCTACTTTAGAATATAGCGTATTTCACTCATTTCACTAAACTTCCGTGTTTCAAGTAGTATATAAACATTTATCAAATGAAGAATAAATCAGTTATCAACACGACTCAATACTCCGCGGTTCTACTTCCTACAACTGGGAATAGGGCTCGTAATACACTATCTCAACTAGCAGCTAACCACGTTAGCTCACCCTCAACGCAGCTCCAGCATCTCCTGTGGTCCGGCATCGCAGTAACCATCGTTACCATTGCTGCGACGCGATCGTCCTGCCATCAAAGCGTCCCCGTGCCAGCGACAAGTGCTCATTACCCCCTTGTCCCGCGGTGTGGCCCAGAAGTGTCTACTTCGGTTAGGCACAAACACTACTATAAGCTCAATTTTCTTTCGGAACTCGGTTTGGATCCAGCGTTTTCGTATCTGCAGATTGTTTTTATCAATTGCAGATCTGACTTGCCACGACTGTATCTCTAAACGATATGATACATGGAGAAAATATTCAAAAAATCATACGTAAGCGTGTCTATATTGTTCATTTTAGTTGGCTTGGCTTCGCATACATAACATTTTGTTAAAGAAGTTCCACTCAATGCAGTGCAATCTTTACCGTTCACTATTGTGAGTTGGAGGCTGTGCTGTATAGAAATTTCATCTCGAGTCGATGATGGCCTAGGGTTCTTCCATATAATTATTGGGTTTGGCGACTGTGTCACCAGTTGAAGAGGCACATAAGAAGTGATAAATATAGAATTGTCTTCACTTAATTGCTTTTGATTTCATTGACAACATCAATTTGAATATTTAATAAACGTAATGCTGTAAGCCTAGTACTCAGATCGGCTAAGAGTATCACTAGTCGAAAAATCTTATTCCTTGTAGTGTGACCGAAGTTGTCAAAGCTCACCCGCAATGCATATAGGATGGTCTTACTGTCAAGAAGTTGGGTTTGTTGCCAAACGGAAAACAAATCAATTGGAGAAATTTGAAAAGGGGGAGTCGGCTGGTACACAAAGAAATTTAAATAAAAACAAGGAAGAACGCTATAGTCGAGTACCTCGACTATCAGATACCCGTTACTCAGCTAAATAGAGATATGAAAGCAGCAAAGCGAGATTAAAATGCGCCATCTACCGGCGGTATACAGAATTAAGCGTTATGGGCGTTAGAGTGGGCGAGACCAATACATTTCAGTTAAAATTTTTTATCTAGCATGAAAATTGTGGGCGTCACAGGTTTTTGCGGTTTGTGGGCGTTAAAGTAGGCGTGGGTCAATCGATAGGTATTGATGAGAACATTACATTTCAGTTAAAATTTTTATTCTAGCATCAAAACTGTAGGAGCCACAGTTTTGGGCGGTTTGTGGGCGTTAGAGTGGGCGTGGCACTCTACTGAAACAAACTTGCGCTGCGCAGGAACCTCAGGAATCTGCGTGCCTAATCCCAGTATTGTAACTCTCATAGTTTCCGAGATCTCAGCGTTCATACGGACAGACGGACAGACGGACATGGCTAGATCGACTCGGCTAGTGATCCTGATCAAGAATATATATACTTTGTGAGGTTGGAAACGCTTCCTTCTGCCTGTTACATACTTTCCGACGAATCTAGTATACCCTTTTACTCTTCGAGTAACGGGTATAATAAATGGAATGTTCAACGAATGTTTTCATGTATGTAAATTAGTAGTTTAAAGCTTCCTTCTCGTCCTACAAACACTTCGCCATCTTTCCCGCTCCACCACAGTACAGCTCCGAGTCCCAATAGGCATATTGGACCTTGAGGAAGTGGGAGAACGGGGTTGATCCGCTGATGCTGCAGTAAGTCGCCCAGCATCCTGGCAGTGGCTGGCTATGGCTTCTCCAACTGTTCCTTAGCGGGCGCCCTATTTTCCTCCTCCCTATAGAAGCCAGAGGGTCCTCCAGCTCCGCCTAAGCTGCCAAGTAGCTGGTGGTGGTGGTGTCCGGAGTCCTAATGGAGAGGTCGTCGGAGATCGTATTACTGGTGGTTCTGCTAAAAAGATACTTGTATTAGTACAACGCAACGCAATTCTTTTGGCCAGACCTTACTTTCTTTGCGAGAACGCGCCCGGCAGGATGCCGCGTATTTGCCTCTCGCTCACTCCTATGGTTAGCTCGCGGTCCTAATGGAGAGGTCGTCGGAGATCGTATTACTGGTGGTTCTGCTAAAAAGATACTTGTATTAGTACAACGCAACCAAATTCTTTTGGCCAGATCTTACTTTGCGAGGCCGCGCCCGGCAGGATGTCCATGTAGAGATTTGAGTGCCACTCGGCATATTCCTTCCCACTGGGATTCTCTAGTGTATCTCCAACAGCACTTCAACTATTCTGCGAATTTGACCGCTTTGTGGAATTGCTTCCTGTCGGTGCAATCCCGCAATAAAGGGCATAAGCTTGAATTTTGCGTCCTATTTCATCTGATCTGACCTTCTGGATTCGATTTTGGGGTTTTCCTTCCATTTTTAATTTTTAGTTTCCATCGCCTTTGCACGAACACCGCCAAACATTAAATTTCTTATTCTTTGGGCCGCGAAATCTGGTATTTTTTCTGGTATTTCCTTAGCTCATCTGAGTACCGCGCTGAAAAACAGACCCGACGAAAAGCGTTAGCTGCGTATTTGCCTCTCGCTCACTCCTAGGGTTAGGTCGCGGTTTTCGTCGATCTGAGTACTAGGCTTTAAGCGAAAACCCCCCTGTTTAAACAGGCTTATAAATTGTGTTCTATAGTTCAGACACAACTATCGATATATACAAATAAAACGGGTGCGGGACAATGAAAAAAATAAAAAGAATATCACGAATCTGACTGCAGGTGTTCTTATTTCAATAGAATTTAAAACGAAAACAATCAATATATCATAATTTATCTGTGAAGGAACAGTTACCAGACGAAATGGCACTAATGGACATAGAGCTAAAGAAGGTAAACGGGTGACATTTCAATTAAGCTGTGTGTACGAGTGTTCCCCAAATAGCTAATCCAACACCCACTGTACGAGTATTCGTTAAGAGGCCTTTTCTGAAATGCAGATCAACAAACTGGAAACCACCAAGAAGATCAACATGATCGACATGAAGTGCGACATGGTCAAAACGGGCAAGCACAAGTACCAGCTTACTGAGAAGGGCACTAGCAGTCTTTCCGAACACGCAAGGTAAATATAACTTGGATGTAAATCATCTTCAGATGGCTTTTTAACTATTCCTTTCTAGAGTTTACCAGTCCGTTGGCCGCATGTTCCTGCTGACGAATGTGCAGTACAAGCGCGAAGATCTAAAGGCCAAACAAGAGAAGTGCGACAAGGCGATAGAACTACCAGAAAAAAAGAAGGCCTTTCTACAGAAGTCCCTCAAGGATGAAGAAGACGGACTGCGTGAACTCGTGCAACAGCGTAAGGGGGCCGACCTGGTTGCGAAATAAATTCTAACTCGGCATTTATACCTCAATGCAATTGCTTATTTATTTTCAACATATTCGTCTAAATTGAAATTAGCGTAGCTCACGAACGAGTTTCCCAGATTACGCTCGTGTTCCGGTCGGAAGGCGCACTTAAAAACGGGCAGGCCGCTAGTGAGCCAGGGTTCCGCCACCTCCCCAGAGCAAAGAATTATCTTGCACTCAGACGGGTTCCGCTGCAGCCTGGTGATTATTTCACAAGTTTTGAGTGTACACTCCTGAGACAGGAAGGGCGGATCGGCAACGATTAAGTCATACTGGTGGTGATGCTCTTTGAGGTAGTTCGGGTTGCCTCCTACGCAGTTTAGGTCGTAGAGCACAAAGTCCGTGCCGTAGGCTCCAAATCTTGGATCGTACTCAAAGATGCGGACTAAATAGGCACGAAATCATCATTGGGCATAGGCATTTAATCTGCTTGCTTACCATTGTCATGGATGTTTCTTATGTCCTTGTAAAGTGATGGACATGATAGGAGAGCAATATGAAAATCTCCCAAATCAGCCTTTTGTTCCGCCAATAGCTTATGCACAACATCGCGCAGAGTATGTTTAGTTTTCGCACTGTACCAAAACTGACTCAGTTGCTGCAAGCAGGAAAAGTCAGCATATATTAAATGTACTTATAGGGTTTCTTGCCCAATCTTCCTCGAATTGAGCATCCATTCCGGCCTGGTTAACAATTTGATATTCCTCCTCGGCTTTACGCTTGGATCGCGCCGACAGGAATTCGTTAGGAATAGCCAACGTGTCGGCAGGGAGCAAAATGTCCTCGTCCATTATGATATTTTTAGCTATCCCAGTCAAAATAAACCTAACTGTGCGTTTGTTGAACTAGAGGTGAAAATTTGATGATACTTTAGACAGTTAGGGTATTCCGTTACTGCGGAATTATTTATATTTAATTGCGGAATTATTTATTTTAGCTCTTTATCAGCAGCTTCATACAAACTCTAATTTTAAATCAGGACTTTAAGCAATTCAATAACCTCGACTCCAACCATAGTTCATTAAAAAGCCACGGCAGCTCTGAAACATACTACCACCAATAAGCATGATTCAGTTTAAAAATAAGCAAGGAAGAATATATTTATTTGGTTTCATCTTAATAATTATACCCGTTACTCGTAGTAAGTAGTAGGGTATACTAGATTAGTCGGAAAGTATGTAACAGGCAGAAGGAAGCGTTCATTAAAAAGCCACGGCAGCTCTGAAACATAGTACCACCAATAAGCATCATTCAGTTTAAAAATAAGCAAGGAAGAATATATTTATTTGGTTTCATCTTAATAATTATACCCGTTACTCGTAGAGTAAAAGGGTATACTAGATTAGTCGGAAAGTATGTAACAGGCAGAAGGAAGCGTTTCCGACCCCATAAAGTATATATATTCTTGATCAGGATCACTAGCCGAGTCGATCTAGCCATGTCCGTCTGTCTGTCCGTCCGGATGACCGCTGAGATCGCGGAAACTATAAGAGCTAGGCTATTGGCATTATTTGGCATGCAGATTCCTGAGTTCCGCAAGTTTGTTTCAGCAGTGTGCCACGCTCACTCTAACGCCCAATAACCGCCCAAAACTGTGGCTCCTACAGTTTTGATGCGAGACTAAATATTTTAGCTGAAATGTATTGTTCTTATCTATCTATCTATCTATTGACCCAAAAAAAAGTTTGCCTTGCCCGCTTTAATGCCCACAAACTTTAAAAAATCGTTAATATGAACGCGGATATCTCGAAAACTATGTACGTAGCGCAAGTTTGTTAGGCGAATATGCCACGCCCACTATAACGCCCACAAACCGCCCAAACCTGTGGCGCCCACAGTTTTCATTCTAGGTAAAAAATTTTTTTTACTAAAATGTATTAGTCCCGTCAATACCTATCGATTGATCCAAAAAACATCTGATAGGCATAAGCAAACCATAACTATACCCTTTTATATATTTCAAAAAACGAAGAATGGATGGAGATGGATTTCAGATAAATAATGTATGCTTTGGTGAAACAGTTGCCAAGTTTTGCCAGGAAGCACATATGTAAGGACAAGGCTGTTATTATTTTTTAGAAAAATAGCAAAGCAATATTTAATTTCACGATCAAATAAATGTATCCATTTCGAGCCGTTGGAAGGCTCCTTGGTCCTGCACCAACCACAATATCAATACAAACATTTTAAAATTTTTTCAATATAAATTAATATGACGGTTTGCAGAAAATTGCGATTGAATTTGTTAAGAGTTTTGACTATATTTTGCGCAGAAACCGTTATGGATGTTATTTTTATATGAAAATAATAATTTATGAGTATTTTCAATTGTCTTCAACCAGTAATTTAAAGTTAACAAGAAAGGAAGTTAGCTTCGGCAAGCCGAAGCTTATATACCCTTGCAGCTATATTTATTAGATTTAAAAACACAAAAAATGATATTCCCAATAGTATAAGATAATATGTCAAAAAACACCGAAGCTATAATTTGTTTCATATTATTTTCCTACCAATTTTCCGATCGTTCCTATGGCAGCTATATGATATAGTCGTCCGATTTTGATAAAATTAAATTCGAAATTCAGAACTAATAAAAAAAATGTTATTTCCAAGCTTAGGAGGTTATATGTCAAAAAACACCGAAGCTATAATTTGTTTCATATTATTTTCCTACCAATTTTCCGATCGTTCCTATGGCAGCTATATGATATAGTCGTCCGATTTTGATAAAATTAAATTCGAAATTCAGAACTAATTAAAAAATGTTATTTCCAAGCGTTGGAGGTTATATGTTGAAAAACACCGAAGCTATAATTTGTTTCATATTATTTTTCCACCAATTTTCCGACCGTTCCTATGGCAGCTATATGATATAGTCGTCCGATTTTGATAAAATTAAATTCGAAATTCAGAACTAATTAAAAAATGTTATTTCCAAGCGTTGGAGGTTATATGTTGAAAAACACCGAAGCTATAATTTGTTTCATATTATTTTCCTACCAATTTTCCGATCGTTCCTATGGCAGCTATATGATATAGTAGTCCGATTTTGATAAAATTAAATTCGAAATTCAGAACTAATTAAAAAATGTTATTTCCAAGCGTTGGAGGTTATATGTTGAAAAACACCGAAGCTATAATTTGTTTCATATTATTTTTCCACCAATTTTCCGACCGTTCCTATGGCAGCTATATGATATATTCTTCCGATTTTGATAAAATTAAATTCGAAATTCAAAACTAATAAAAAAATGTTATTTCCAAGCTTAGGAGGTTATATGCTAAAAAACACCAAAGATATAAATTGTTTTAATTTGTTTTTCCTATTATTCCTATGGGAGCTATAAGATATAGTTGTCCGATCCGGCTGGTTCCGACTTATATACTACCTGCAAAAGATATAAGACTTTTGGGAAAGTTTCAGCCCGATAGCTTTAAAACTAAGAGACTAGTTTGCGTAGAACCGGACGGACAGACGGACATGGCCAGATCGACTCGTCTAGTGATGCTGATCAAGAATATATATACTTTATGGGATCGGAAACGTCTCCTTCACTGCGTTGCAAACTTCTGACTGAAATCATTATACCCTTTGCAAGGGTATAAAAATAAGCTTAACAAAAGTAGAGCATCGCCATATCCTTGCTTCAGTTGAATGGACATAGTTTTTCTCAAAACAATCATATATAGATGGTGTAATATCGTAATTAATATAAGAAATCATTGAGAGCATTCAATACGTTTGACAAAAAATGTACTCCAATGCCGATCAGCTGATTTTTCTTCATAAATTCCCTATGTGTACATGAATCTGTTTAAGGTAACAACAGCGATTTTAAGTGGCTGTGTGCCGAGGCTATTACCCCAGTTTTTAGCCGTTTTAGCCTAGTACTCAGATCGGCTAAGAGTATCACTTATTCTTTGTAGTGTGACCGAAGTTGTCAAAGTTCACACGCAATGCATATAGGATGGTCTTACTGTCAAGAAGTTGGGTTTGTTGCCAAACGGAAAACAAATCAATTGGAGAAATTTGAAAAGGAGGAGTCTGCTGGTACACAAAGAAATTTAAATAAAAATAAATGGAATGTTCAACGAATGTTTTCATGTATGTAAATTAGTAGTTTAAAGCTTCCTTCTCGTCCCACAAACGCTTCGCCATCTTTCCCGCTCCACCGCAGTACAGCTCCGAGTCCCAATAGGCATATTGGACCTTGAGGAAGTGGGAGAACGGGGTTTATCCGCTGATGCTGCAGTAAGTCGCCCAGCATCCTGGCAGTGGCTGGCTATGGCTTCTCCAACTGTTCCTTAGCGGGCGCCCTTTTTTCCGTCTCCCTATAGAAGCCAGAGGGTCCTCCAGCTCCGCCTAAGCTGCCAAGCAGCTGGTGGTGGTGGTGTCCTAATGGAGAGGTCGTCGGAGATCGTATTACTGGTGGTTCTGCTAAAAAGATACTTGTATTAGTACAACGCAACCAAATTCTTTTTGCCAGATCTTACTTTCTTTGCGAGGCACTGACCTCCTGCATCCGATTTTGAGGGTTTCCTTCCATTTTTAATTTTTAGTTTCCACATCGCCTTTGCACGCACACCGCCAAAGATTGAAGTTCTTATTCTTTGGTCCGCGGCTTATGGCGTTCATCGAAATTCACTTGCTGAATCTGGTATTTTTTCTGATATTTCCTTAGCTCATCTGAGTACAGCGCTGAAAAACAGACCCGACGAAAAGCGTTAGCCGCGTATTTGCCTCTCGCTCACTCCTATGGTTAGCTCGCGGTCCTAATGGAGAGGTCGTCGGATATCGTATTACTGGTGGTTCTGCTAAAAAGATACTTGTATTAGTACAACACAACCAAATTCTTTTGGCCAGATCTTACTTTCTTTGCGAGGCCGCGCCCGGCAGGATGTCCATGTAGAGATTTGAGTCCCACTCGGCATATTCCTTCCCACTGGGATTCTCTAGTGGATCTCCAACAGCACTTCAACTATTCTGCGAATTTGACCGTTTTGT